GGGTGCCTTCCCAGGACAGCAGGGTGCCTTCCCCGGTCAGCAGGGTGCCTTCCCAGGACAGCAGGGTGCCTTCCCCGGTCAGCAGGGTGGTCTCCCTGGACAGCAAGGTTCATTCCCAGGACAGCAGGGTGCCTTCCCCGGACAGCAGGGTGCCTTCCCCGGCCAACAGGGTGCTTTCCCCGGCCAACAGGGTGGTCTTCCTGGTGCGCGCGGACAGCTGGGTGGTTTCCCAGGCCAGCAGGGTGGTCTGCCCGGACAGCAGGGTGGCTTCCCCGGACAGCAAGGTGGCTTCCCTGGACAACAAGGTCTGTTCCCGCAGGGCCAGCAGGGTCTTGGTGTGTATGCGCCCGGACAGCAGGGCTACTCCAGTGGCCGTCCTGCCGGAGGTTTCCAGGGTCCCGTCGGCGGCGGCCAGGCTGGAGGACCCGGCTTCAACAACCTGCCCGGCGCTCAGGGAGCGTTCCCCGGACAGCAGGGCCCCGCCTTCCGTGGTCCGCAAGGCGGTCTTCCAGGACAACAGGCCGCCGGCTTCCCCGGACAGCAAGGCGGTTTCCCCGGTCAGCAGGGCGCCGGCTTCCCCGGACAGCAGGGCGGTTTCCCCGGTCAGCAAGGCGCCGGCTTCCCCGGTCAACAAGGCCTGAACAGGCAGCCCGGCCAGCAGGGCGGTGGCTTCCCCGGTCAGCAGGGTGGTTTCCCCGCTCAGCAGGGCGGTTTCCCCGGTCAGCAAGGTCTGAACAGGCAGTCGGGTCAGCAGGGCGCCGGCTTCCCCGGTCAGCAAGGCGCTGGCTTCCCGGGCCAGGCTGGCCAGAGACAACCTGGCCAACAGGGCTTCGGTGGCTACGTCTACTAGTTCGCGGAGGATGTTCGGGTCGGCCGCGAGTCCGCCGCCTGTCTGAGCGCCGCCGGGCCCGCCCTCCCATCGCGGATACTCCGCGCGCTCGAGAGTCCCACCGCGGCGATACCCCCTGCGGGGCGAGGCCCCCTCCTCTCCTCTCCTCCTGCGGGAGCATGACCACTAGATGGATCATCCAGACAGTACGTCCGGCATTCGCCGTCGATCCGAGGCTCCCAAGTTCAGCAGGCTCTGCGAGCTCTCATAGCGCCTGGTGGGTAGGCAACGTCTCGCTTGCAGTGCATGCGTGCTCTGCGGGGTGGCCCACCCGGAGTCTCGCAGGCGCCGTGCACCCGTAATTTGCCGAAAGAACCCGCGAAAAAACGGACGTGCTTTCTGGACGATCCCTAGGGATCTCTATACGTGTGTTCTTGTCTATAAGCAAATGAAGTTACCATGTCAAAGTTACCAAGTCACGGAGCGAAAGTTATTTATTTTCAGTTTAGCTACATAATCATGTTATCGCTTCATGACAAAATATTTATTTATTCTCGCGTTATTATAATTATTGGTGTTCTCTGTCTGAAGACATTAGAAGTGATTCTGTACATTTTGAAACGCGTTCCATTGATTTACACATCGCTCAATGTGCATGTGAAATTATGCCCAAGTGTAATGTTTGAAATCATCTATTTTTTTATATTTCAATTTTCCAGAAAAACATAATAAAAAAAAGATAGGATTTAATCCCACTTTTGTTTCGCTCTGACGTGTATTTTCCCCGAAACAGAAAACACACAAGGTGATGACGTCTCCTCTACGTCGCGTGCTCTATTTTCGAGAAGTCCTTCTTTCGGCAGCGGCTGGGGATGCGTCGCCTTTTCTTGACTCAGAAGAAAATACCAAACAAAGAGACGAGATGGCTAAGGAGATAACGAGTGCGAGAAACCCGCGCATACGTGTACAAAGCGGGGACGAGGTGTGGATCCTCGGATTAATGCCCCTTCACTGACGACTTGGCAGGAGCACTGACGTGGACTCCGAGCTTCTAGCCGTGGCGATGATGAAATGACTGAGTATTCCGCGCAGCATCTGAACCGGAAACAGAACAACACGACTACCAGATCCGTTTCCTACTTTATGGTTGATTGGCCAATGATGGCCGGATTTGTTGTTGTTCGGGGGTTCCGATTTGTATGCAGTGGAATACTTGATTCCTGCTCAGGGGTAGGGTAGGGGGCAGAAGCTGCAAAGCCTGCGAACTCGTCCTTTATGGGATAGGGGCTGGGGGGGGGGGTCCCCCACGGTCCACGAGTTCTTCGTTTGGACCCTATAAGTTCCTTTCAGCGGTCGCACCGCTCTACTTTTATTCACGATGTTCTTCTCCAGACAAAAAGGACACCGGCAGGGTCACCTTATCACTTAAAATAAAATTGAGCTTCTGAGGAGGGAGCTCTTTGGCTCCATGCCCCTCGACTGCATACACTGTGTAGAATAATCTCCGATAAGCTCTCGTACAGTCACAGAGAAGTGAGAGTCGGAGAAGATGGCCATCTCAGTCTGCCGGCACTCTGGAGTGGGTGGGCGGGGAAAAGGGAAGGCCCAGTAAGAAACGACTGTTTCAAAGATTTTAAGTAAAGAATCGAGCCCTGACTTTTTCTGAACTTTCGTTCTGTAGAAATCTACCCACCATCATGGCCATATGTCATGTTATAAGATTTATGAAACTTCAAATTCAAAGAGCAATGGGGGCGCTCCGCGTCTGCCGCTACACAGTTGTATGTAGCTGCAAACCAGAAGGCAACGGGCACCGAATCGACTGTAGGTCAAGTTCGTCACGGCCAACTCATGTGTTTAAAGAAGAAAGTTGATGTGGTATATCTTTTTTGAGGGAAACCCGAATTTTCCCAGTTTCCCTTCTCGTCGTCGTGGAGCGAAACGGGAGCGACGGCGGCGGTGGTGAGAGACACGGGGGTGCGTCCGTCCGCCCTTCCGGCCGGCGTGAGCGTCTATCCGAACGCAGCCCTCCTGCCGGGTGGCCTGGCCGGCCTGGCCCCGGGGGCCGGGTCGGCGCGCGACTGACCGCCCGGCCCGGCCGCCAGTGGACCGCGTCAGTGCGAGGGAGACAGACGGCCGTCAGTGCAGCGCTCTCGCTTGTGTGTTTGCGCCTCGTGTGTGTTTGTGTGAGCGGCGAGAGAGAGAGAGAGAGAGAAAAAGAAACAGAAAATCGCGAGTACGTGTCCCTGCCGCCCTTCCTCAGGACCCTCCTCGAACCCTCAAACAGCCAGAGGACACGTAAGATATCGCCACCGCCCCGCCCCCACCACCCTGCCCGCGGGCTTATCGCTTTGCTTGTATATAAGTTGTAATGCACCAACAAGTTGCCCTGATAGCAGTGTGTGTTTGCAGAGCCGAGAGTGCGGAGCCGAGCGCGAAGCAGTAAAGAAGCTCCGAAGCGCCGCCGCCGTTAGAGCCGACCCGAGTCGACCCTCTCGACCGATCCAGCAGCGCGCCCGAGGACAGGAAGGAGAGTTGGTCCGCGGCCGCCGTCGTTGTCGTCGTCGCCCCCCCACTGTCGCCGCCGTCCCCGCGGCCGCCGCCGCCGCTGCTGCCCCGCGACCTGCCGGGAGTGATCGAGACCAGGCGATAGCAGAGGAGGTTATCGAACTGCTGCAGAATGAGGTGGTGAGTACGAGTGGCTGTTGTTGTTGTTGGCTTGTTCGCCCATTCATGTCCTCGCTAGAGAAAAAGTCTTGGGATCACCACGCCGCCGCTAGGTGTCATGCCAGGCGTGACGTTGACAAGACGAAATTCTGTTCAAAAGTGTGCACCGTGGCTTATCTGGCTCACTCATATTTTGTCCGCCCATTAAACGCAGTTACTCCTCCCAATTTAACATCGACTGTTGTTGTTGTTGATCGGCCCCGTCTCAGAGTGTGTGATTTAGGACGGACTTTTTGTTTGGCAATTCGCTGCAGCACGGCCGTGGCAGTCATGGCGATGTTTGCGCTTTGACACATGGCCACACCGTGGGATTGCCACCTGTATACATTATTCAACATTTTGGATGCGGTGGCGAGGGGAGAGGGCGGTGGGGGTTGTCGATGTTTTGCGGGCCACCTCCACCACACCCCTGCGTGTGCCCCCCAGTCGTCAACTTGACACATTGGGTTTATCGTGGCGACCCCCACCCCGGCCCTGGTGGCCCTGGTGGTCGCCTGTCGTACTGTGGCGAATATTGAACACCCCGCCCCCTTCCCGCGCACTGTTTAAATTTCCAGTTCCGGAACGACGGGGGGTTCGGTCCATCTGCGTGACAGCTGGGGGCGCACCACTGCCCGGGGTGCCGAAGGGAAATTGTTTGTCCTCCAGTTGCGGACGGACGGCGCGGGGCGCGCGGCTGTGACCTCCAGCGACACGCGAGTTGTCCAGTCCGGACGCGGACGCCCAGGACGCCCCTCCCCCAGCCGACCCCGTCCCTTGCGCCTTTATTTTGTCGACTGACAAAGGTCTTTTCCAGGTCACGGCTGACGCACTATGTCGCGTCGGAACGAGCGAAGGGCGCGACGTCAGTAGCGACAGACGCATCTATCTTAACAGTTTGGGCGGGG